TTTTGACTCATTCCCTTTGCTTCCTCCATCGTTTTTCCGAGCTCTGTAAGACTAAAAGTTTGTGCTCATGTGCCATTCACAGCCTTTCCAGCTATATATAAATATGATGAAAGTCCTAAAATAAAAATATAAAAAGATTTTGAAGGTAAAATACGAGAGAGAGAGAGAGAGAGAGAGAGAGAGAGAGAGAGAGAGAGAGAGAGAGAGAGAGAGAGAGAGAGAGAGAGAGAGAGAGGAGAGAGAGAGAGAGAGGGGGGGGGGAGGGGGGGAGAGAGAGAGGGAGAGAGAGAGGAAGAAAGAGGAAGAGAGGAAGAGAGAAAGAAAGAAAGAGAAAGAGAAAGTAAGAAAGAGCAAGAAGAGAGAGAGAAGGAGCAGAAGAAAGAGAGAGAGACACATAGACGAGGAAAAAAATCTGAACACGGGACGAGCGACGAAGAATTCCAGACCGTAGAGCGACCACTGCTTCCCCCGCCGACCCGTCCCAGGACCCCTCTCGCACTCCCTCTCGCATCGCAGCACTTCCCACTCCGTCTCCCTGCACCATAAAATCTATAACCTCCATATATATGTCAGGATCCCGAGCCACGACTTCCTTCCCATTACAAATCCTCCTCCGCGCCCCTCTTCCCCGTCCCGACCGAACTCTCCTGATTGCCTAAAAGTAATTTATAAATCAGAGGGAGATCAACTTCCATAAATAAAGGATAACTCGTTGCAGAGGGGAGATTGCATTAAAGACGCAATTTACCTTCCGCCATTGCCATAATACAACATGGGTTTTCTTGTTGTACCATTTCTGTGAAGTCAACACTTAGTAAGTAAAGGCATAGGCTAATAGGAACTTAAAAGGGGCAAGGAAGAAAGTAAGATTTCTGTTTCATCTCTCCTCTAAAAGACAAAAATAGCAAAAACACACATGCAAAATCCCAGCAGAGGCGTGAGATCTTCGTGTGTACATAACCCAGACTTTGGCCTTATAACTCTCTGCGCACACCTCACTTGTCACTAAGCCGCAGAACACATAAACCCTCACACTCTGCTACTGTCACATTCACTCAGACACACGCGATGCACTCGAACAAACGTGGAAACCGGAGCAGGAGATATATGTGGTTGGAGCAGCTATTCACTTTATGACAATAGAATATTCAACCCAGGCATCCGTCTTTCTTAAACTGTCTCTATATGGAGCCAAATGTTATTGTTTTAATGAATACTTGAACATCTAAATTACTTTAAGAGTTTCATATTATTCGCCATCAGTTTGTTTAGAGAATTAAACTTTTGCATACTCATTTTGCATATTCTCCATTGCGAACAACAAAGATAAAATGGGACAATAAAATACAACATGGGGGAAAATCCTCCATGGCTGGGCGAGGCAAAGTTCGTCTAATGACCCGATACTCCCGAGAGCAAATCACCCTGCCCCCCATCCGTACCCCCCTAACCCCAACCCGGCCCTCCATCCGACCCTGCGCAACATTATTCTCCTGTCAGAGCGCCCTACTCCGTCCACACTCCCGCACGCCCTTCCATCAGCCCTCCATCAACCTCCCCCTCCTCCAACGTTCGTGACGCAAAAAGGGATTGAAAGATAGGGAAGAGCTTGCTGCCTTTCGCCGCCTCCGCTCTTCCATCACAGCACAAAAGTTTGCTGCCTTCCTCTCCCTCTTTCCTGCGACGAAGGAGTCTATGTATCTCGCAAAACTGACGCTCTTCCTTCTCTCGAATGAGCCTGCGGCCCCAGACGGTAACCTGAAGCAACCCTTGACATGAAACTCTTAAAACATGCATTCTGATTTCAGTAAAAAAGAAAATGCAGTAAAACGGGAGACCCGTTACCGGTGTATGCTAGTTTACGTACATGTACGCAGCAAAGACATGCTTGAGTGGCGAGACACATACTTCCAAGTGGCATGTCTTGTGTCTCCTAGAGATTGGATATTGATTCCTGATCGAACAAAAACTACGTAACACGCCACCTCAACCTCGGCTTTGCGGGTTTCCTTAAAAAAGAAAAGAAAAACGAAAAAGAAAATATGAAACATCACGACCTCCGTCTCCACTTTCTCCTCCTCCTAAGGAGAAAGGATTAGCTTCCTTCCCCGCTGCAAAGGGGCCATGATGAAGCAGACAGATTGCCTCGCGGGAACGCAGGCAAGGACGAAGGGAAGGACGACGAGAAGTGCGGAGAAGGAATGAGATCGACAGAGGGAGGGAGAGTTTATTTGCCCCTCCCCCTCCCCCCCAGCACTTGGCGACGCTTCAACAAGGACCCCAATGGGCTCAGCAGTCGTCACAGGGAAGGTTCAGGGCCGACACGAATCATATTAGCAGTGCGTGAAAATAAGACAAAGGTATGTAATCACCCAAAAATGTGCGCATATATGATACTTCTAATTTGTTGTCATAACACTGTTCAAGTAATAATTCAGATTAATTTTAACTATATAGCCTACATAATAAACAAGCACTATCTAACTCTCGCGTACGAAGAAAGTGAGAAAAAACATTTCTTTCCCTCTCCCTCTTTTCAGAGAGAGAGGGAGACAGCGAGGAAGAAGGGAGCGTACATAGATAGATAATTAGATAAAGAATGTAGCAGGTCTTACTCTGCGTCATAAGAGTAGGAGTAGCGATGACGCAAATAGGTGTCCTCGTAGGAGGACATGATGGCCGGAGTTGCTTCTTGACTCAACAAAGACGAAGATGCGGATGAGAGCGAGGGGCCGAGGACGACCTGCCTGGGAAGCGGAGGGCGAGAAGGAAGGCTCTCCCGCCTTCCTCAGGGATTCATCGCCTGCGTCCTCCTCGAGCCTTCACCGACACTGACGCATGGCCGCGCTGTGCCCCGCCCCGCGCCGTGCTCTGGCCCGCACGCGGCTGTGTCTCCGAGGCGGCACGAGGCGCTCTCAAAGCCGAGCTCGAGCCTGGAGGACGAGCGACCTGCGCGACGCTGCCTTGTTCTCGCGCGACGACTCGGAGGCGGAGACCGGGGGCGACGCGACAGAGTTCCTCGCAGTGTTGGCATATCAAGGGCGGGAAAGGCGGGCCAGCGGGAGGCTCCTCGTCACAGCCACGAAAGACACGGACGCCACGGGGCGAAGGCTCTTCATGCCGGCGAGTGGCGGGCGACTCGCAGCACTCGACTCTTGATTTACATAACAAACAATTCTGTTTCTATTCTACTTTTCTCATCCAAACGAGAGGCGTTCGATCACTACTCTCCTCTTTCTTGGTGCGTTTTTAAAAGTCAGTTATATAGCTCGATAACCATTTCCAAAAAACAGACAAAACAACGACAAAAGTCCGGGACGTTTTACACTCATTTATCAATTTCTTTCAAAAAGTGTTTCTAGCAGATGACATTCACGAGCCTTCTA